GACTGCCACCCACCTTGCTACAAGCCCCTTTGGTTGTTGTGACCCAAGTGCAGAACTCAGCACTTTGCCTTGTAGAACCTCATACCACTGGCCCCAGGCCCATTGATGCAGCTTGTCCAGATCTCTCTGTAGAGCCTTCCTACCCTCCAGCAGATCAACACTCTGTCCCAGCTTGATGTCATCTGCAAACCTGCTGAGGGTGCACATGATCCCCTTGTCCAGGTCATTGATAAAGAGATTAAACAGAACTGGCCCCAGTACTGAGCCTTGGGGAACACCAGCTGTGACCAGCTGCCAACTGGATTTAACTCTATTCATCATAACCCTTTGGGCCTGGACATCCAGTCAGATTTTTACACAGCAAAACCATCCAAGCCCATCTGTTGGGAAGTTGTGGAGGTGAGGCACCTTCACATAGAGCAGCAAGAAAGCTCAAGCCCACGGAAGTGCTTCATCTTTTTTAAAATTCAAAGCCCTGACAACTAAAACATGAGCTGAAAAAGTCAGAGTAGAACACCTGCCCTGCCACTTTTTTCTGAAGCAATGAATCCATTACCACCACAGAGCCCCTGCTGGCTACAAGATAAAAAGCAGATAGACCATTTATCAGCATTTTGTCCAGGAGAGAATCAAACAACTGTCATATCACTTCTGAACAGACCCTGTCTGAGCACCTTCTGTCATTAAAATTAACAGAACTCCCATTCCATTGCAGAGCTTAGAACACACAGGACAGGGATCTTACACAGGGAAAAATATTCAGAGTATTACGCCTTCAGTCATAAATATGCATGGTCTCTTCAAAGCAGACTTCAAAAACAAAACAGGTGGTTATGAAGTCTCCTGCAGTTAAATTTTCATTCCCTTCTCTAAGGGGAGTATAACGAGACAAAACTAAATGTGGAAGAATGGACGTAACTGACATTGCACTCTGTCAGAAAAAGCTTGCAACAGAGCCACCAGGTAACACCTAACACAGACTCTGCAGGCTCACCCACTGATGTAAAGCACTGCAAATAAAACAGCAAAGGGAGGGGAAGGAATCATAGAATCATAGAATTGTTAGGGTTGGAAAGGACCTTAAGATCATCTAGTTCCAACCCCCCTGCCGTGGGCAGGGACACCTTATGCTAAATCATATCACCCAAGGCCTCATCCAACCTGGCCTTGAACACTGCCAGGGATGGAGCATTCACAATCTCCCTGGGCAACCTATTCCAGTGCTTCACCACCCTAACAGGAAAGAATTTCCTTCTTATATCCAACCTAAACTTCCCCTGTTTAAGTTTTAACCCATTACCCCTTGTCCTGTCACTACAGTCTCTAATGAAGAGTCCCTCCCCAGCATCCCCTTAGGCCCCCTTCAGATACTGGAAGGCTGCTATGAGGTCTCCATACAGCCTTCTCTTCCCCAGGCTGAACAGCTCCAACTTCCTCAGCCTGTCTTCATACGGGAGGTGCTCCAGTCCCCTGATCATCCTCGTGGCCCTTCTCTGGACTTGTTCCAACAGTTCCATGTCCTTTTTATGTTGAGGACACCAGAACTGCACACAATACTCCAGGTGAGGTCTCAGGAGAGCAGAGTAGCACATTAAAATTAAAAAACAACCAGAAATAGGAATGGTCTAGGGAAAAAGAACTGTTTCAGAAGACCACCTTCCTTTCCAACTAACACATTAAAACCAGCCTATAGTCTTTCCTTGCACACAGCCTCCCTCTCCTGTCAAAAAGAGGAAGCTTCAGTTCTGAAATACTGCTTGTATCACATTGCAACATGCAGTGCTTTCACAACTGACAGTCTCTGTGCTTCCTGATCTCTCATGCTATAAGCATCACATAACATCCAAATCAGTGTCAACACCAAAGTGTTGGGTTTGGAGATGCTCAAAACCCAACTGGACATAGGCTTGAGCAACCTGCCCTAACTGACCCTCCTCTGAGCAAGGATGGACTAAATAGATGTCACTGCCAACCTCAACTCTTCTGTAATTCTCAGATTAATTACTGTTGAATATTGACTGGGCAATGAAATAACAACGCTAAAGCCTAAAGTAAGTTTGTAAAATGCAAAGGTCAAAGAGAAGCAGCTTCCAGGTCCATTTTACAAACAGATAAAACTTAAGCTCAGTGAAAAAGCAGAAGTCACAAGGCCACATTGTCAGGTTAAGTGTGTGGGAATTAGCTGTCACAACTGGAAAAATATCAATACAAGATCAGAGAAAGGTCAGTAAAAAAAAGAAAAACCTTCATTGTAACTTTTTTTTGGTTTTGCATGCAAGAAAGATCAGGATTGTTTTTTGTAAACTTACAAAAACAGAAGTAAAAGTAACAGTTCAGCTGTCTCAAGAGGTCAGTATTCAATTTCTGTTGAACCCACCAATATGAGCAATTGTCTTTACACTGCTAACTGCCTCAGATTTCACAAAACCAATCAAATTTAGAACGAAGATTAATGACAGAGAGTCAGTCTGCTTCTCCCTCACACCACTCTATGAGACATGGGGGAAATTTCTAGCAGCTACTCACAGACACCACCCCTGCAGTCCCTCTGCTACCAAAACCTTGCCATGCAAACCAAATATAACTTACAATCTTTTTTTTATTTATAATACTGTCTAAGCTCATGCATTAGTATAATTTGCTTTTCCCATCTCTTGTGCCTTCCACAGGGACACCTTTCATCCATGTGAAAAAAAAAAAAACCACCTCAACAACCAAAACCAAACCCAAAACATAAGATACTATCTTGGTACTGACTGAGGAATCTTAAAGTAGTAATACAGATTTGACTTACCAGTTTTTATACTGCGTATTGCTGCCAAAAGCCTATTACATACACATGTGATGAAATAAGGCATAAAGCAGAAGTGATTGCACCAAGTGCAGGTGGTCAGACATCAGCACTCATACAATCATTACAAAAAAAGCTAGTGATTCGTAACAGTGAAGTCTGGCAAAAAAAGACATCCCATTATGTGTGTTAAAAGGACAGTTATCAAGGTGAAACCCAAACATTCACATTGTTCTATATTCTCCCTACAAGCCAAATCTCAGCCTTCGAATTTTGTTTAATATTCCATGTAACTCCACATTACCTCAAGGTTTTCACAAGTCACAGCAAGAAAGGAAAAGCAGGGTGGCCTAAAACAATAGGAATGCCATTAATAATGCCACCATGAAGCAGTGAGGACCCAATTCATTTGAATAAGTGTGTCATAACTCCAGGGATCTCTGCTGTCATGCAATTTTTCAGTTGTAATACTGGAATGCAAAAGCTGGAGGTAGACATCTGTTCTTATACATTATCAGGCAGAACAGTTTATTAGTCTTGGCTACGTTCACATGTCATGTTATGTCTTTATAGCTGTCTAGATGGTCATACAGCAGAGACTATATATTACTTCATGGGTATTAGTCATCCCATCTGAGTCTAAGAGGATAAATATAGAACAGTCCAAACTGGGCAGTTAGCTACCAATCTCATTAAAAACAAAAAGTGGAAATAACTCTTTTACACACGAAGCACCCAGCCTCAAGAACAAGCCAGCTGCTACAGAAATCTGGTACATATCATAAAATACATGAAAAGGCAACCTCAAGGGAACACAAGTGCTTGGAAGTGAAAGTCATCTGGAACCTAAGCAGCAACAAGGGAGGTGGAGTGACAACAAAACCCCTTGATGCCTAACTAGGCCATGCTGAAGAAATTGCAGTTGAGAGCTCTAGAGTCTGAAAAGATATCTTTAAATGTATAAACCAAGGTTACATTTTAGCTCTGTTTGCTTTCTCTTTCCACTCATCTATCTCATACCCTGGCCTTAAGTTTGCTAAGCAGCTAACGGTTGCATGGGAGAGTTGACCAGAAAAAACTATCACAGAAAAGGTTCTAAAAGCAGCAAAACAAACTATAATATACACAAAATCTCAAGTGGTCAGCACACAGAGAGCAACATAATTCAGGAGAAAGGCCTAGTCCCCAGTTTTCTTTAAAGAAATTCACATTTTACTGCTTATATTCACTGAAATGCTAAAGCATAACTCTTATTTGCTCATTTTTCTAGAAACCACAGTGCAAGGAAGTCCAGAGCAGCACTACAGCTGCTCTGCTAAATGCACAAACCAGCCTCAAATTCAGGTCAAGGTCAAGATTTGAAAGTTGTGTTAATATGACTATCAGTATCACAAGTTGTAACTTGCAACAAGCATTTCCAATCTGTATGAACTACTTGAAAAATCTTTTGCTTAAGTCTGGTAATGACTACAGCATTGCAGATACTGGAGAAAGCAGATTCCTGATATAACCTCACAGATGTATTTGCATTCATGCCATTTGCGATATAAAAGAATCTTGTCAAAACTGCAGGAAGCCAGCAATGAGGCTTTAAATCCATACTCCCAAAATATATTTGTCTAACAAAAGTCCAGTTCAACTGAAGAGTTTACTCCCTTAATTATTACATGCAAGTTCTTTATGTAACATATTACACTGATACTGCCTTTCTAATCGAGGATTATTTAGAAGAGTGATTACTAGTCACCTACCCACACACCACTGTCTTGGAAGGGCAGCAGAGGTACCAGAAATATTGCCAGATCTCGGGAAGATTGCATCAACCACCAATGAAGCAATGCATGCCACAGCAAGAGAACCTTCTTATCTCCAAACAGCGATCTCTCCCACTACAAGGCTTGGGAGGAAACCTGACTTCTAAGTGCCACAAAGACTGGATTCAAACAAACCCACAGACCTAAGCCCACAAGGCTGAAGCACATGCCACCCTCACAGAGGTGAGCCACAGCAGCCTTAGGAACTGAGGTCAGCCTCCACCTCCCCTGGTCCCTCACAGACCCACCATGTAGGCTGACAACCCAAGCACCACATGAGGCTGGAAGGCACTCCACCCACCCAGGAAGGGGCACACTGGGTACATACATTGCCTATAGCGGCTCCCCCTCTACTGCCTTACCTAGTAGGGCACTATGTGTATATAGATATATACATATGCATGTTTTCTTCTTCAACAATACCAAAAAGAGAAGACAGCCCCCACGACGCCGACAAACCCCACTATTTCCACCCTCAACCTCAGCCGGCAGCTCAGCCGCCAGACCCTTTTATAACGTGGAAAGGCACAACGGGGCGGAACCTGTGCCCCAGCTCTGCGACTGTATTGGGCAGCTGTGCTGTTAATCACCGGAACGGGCAACCTGGTAGCGCGCCTGGCTCTTTCCTTCGGCCTCTTGTTTAAGTGACTCGGGCTCCCTCTAGGGGCAGTAGCGGTGGGCCCGTGAGGGCTGACCCATCCCTGGGTCCCCGGCGCGGCGGGAGGGAGGGGCGGCTCGAAACCGCCCGGTGACGCCGGACGGCACTGTGAGCGCGGCCGCGCGACAGGCCCGCGCAGCCCAGCACTCGTCAACGCGGGCCTCGGTGGCCGGCGGATGAGTTGAGGCGCCCGCCGCGGCGGGCAGAGGGTCGGCTATGGCCAGCGGTGGCTCTGAGGAGGGGGAGGCAGTGGCGAGGGAGGAACAAGCCCTAAGGAAGCTGGTCGTCCGGCTCCAGAACGTCCAGGAGAGGAAGCGGCTGGAGACGCTGGTGCAGACCCTGAGCGACCTGCTGGAGCTGGCGGCCCGGCAGAGCGGTAAGGCGCGGGGGATCCTGCCCGGCCCTGCCCCGCCCCGCCGGTGGCTAACGCGGCCTGTCCCTGTCTCCCCACAGCCCCCCGGCTCTTCAGCGGCAAGAATGTCCACGTGCCCCTGCTGCTAGTGGTGGACCTGTACCCGAGAGCGGCGGGGGTGCAGCAGGTAAGGGCGTCCGGTCCGCGCCGCTCCGGCTTTGCTCCTTGGGATGAGCCGATCCCGCGGTCCTTTCCCGGAGTAAAAGTTGCCGCTCTGCCTGTTTGTTTCTTTTCAACTTGCTCTCGTCCGGGCCTCTTCATGAAGTGCTGCTGGTCTGTAACAGGGCGCTGTATCCGCCCGCATTTAAAGGGACAAGTGTTCCAGCTTGCTGCGGGTACCACTCATTGCATTTCTATGTAAAGGGCAGAAGGTGAACTAGAAAATAAAATAAGTAATGTGAACACAGTATAACATAGTCTTATAAATTGCTAGTGACGTTACCTAATGTATTTTCGACGTTGCAGTATTGAATTCTGACATGGTTAGACAAACTTCTGAAAAGCAGAATTTTACAATATGAATTCATACATATGTAGCCCTGTCCTGGAAAGTTGTACTAACCCAGTTGTTTTTTTCTGGAGGAGGAGGGAGGGCGATTCTTTCAGCTATGAGTAGGTTCTTAACTTTAAGGGTCTGCTTGACTGCTCCTGTAACTTAACATTGGCCCATTTAGATTAGGTGTGGCACTTGAACAATTTGATGTTATAGTTATGGTAGGGCTGCCAAACTTGTCATATGGAACAGCTCCTTCCTGGTAGGTATATATTAATTTCTGACTATGTTATGCTTAAAGGATGTTTATAAGCTCTTTTACTTTTTTCCAACTCAAATAGAAGACAAAACATAAACTATATTGCAAATGCCACTTAAACAATAATATATTTTAAGGTGGGGTTCTTTTGTCTAGTAGAACTTAGCTAGAGGTCAAAAGATTAAAATGTGAAATTGTACTTGTGTAATGATTATCCTGGAACAACAGTGATCCCAGGTTTCCTTTGAAGATTACATATCTGTGCAGACTGAAGTTCTAAGTGATTTTACAGTTCAATTGTTAGGTCATTAAGAAATACAGAAGGAAGAATAAGCAGTTATTTTCAGGATAAGGCATATTTTGTATATAACAATTTGCAAAACCACTGTCCAGAAGTTTAGACAAGGAAGTAAAGATTATGAAATCCAACCACAGTCAGAAGTAGGTGTGAAATGACAGCACAAGAGTCTCAGAAGTGCACAAGGAAGATAGTGGTTTTCATTTTAACCGTGTTAAAGAGCCCCACTGATTTAATGTAGAATTTTAAACTGAGTTTACACTTCTCTCTGCCTACACTTGCAGTTGTAACAGTGTTTCAGTTTAGACGTTTTAGAGCTCTTTTGCATTATTACGTATTAAAGTGTGAAATTCATAGCCAATGCAAAGCTCAAATGCTGTTCTTCACAAAAATGACATAGGCAGCTCTTCCTTCACATTCAGTTGTGATGTTTACAAACATCCACAATATGTTAGTAGAGCTGTCTTCTTGCTTCACTCACTGTGATTCATTTACAGTCTTTGTGAATACACAATTCTCACTTTATAGTAGCAATGGAGTACTGTGGTCCTGATTTCAGTGCAGTCTTTTCACACTGCTAATGAATTTTCATTGAATAAATGCATTAATCAACCTCTTCTGCTTTTGGTTTTGTAATATATTTGACTCACATGGGAGAATAAACACAGTAAGAGATATATCTGAAGTGAGGATTTTCTTTCCTTCCCCTCCTTAACTGCTTTCAAAGCACCATGTTGTGCTGCTGTTCCACTGGCTTGTATGGAGTAAGTTTGCTTAACCCTGCAAGCTTCTTTAGAAGTAGGATGGTACCAGGCTGAAAAGTCAATAGTTCCTTAAAGTAAAATAGATCTTTAGGTAAATATGGTAGTTTCTTGCCACAGTTACTCTGGCAATGATTGGAGCAGCTTAGAAACTCTAGAGCAAATTATGTTTACTCTTGAGTAAAGAGCAGTCAGCAGAGCTTTATTGTGTCATGTAGAAGGTGTGACCTAATGTAATATAAATTCATTGCATGCTAGAAATGAAAAGGGTCTGATTTAAAAATAACAGCATTTCAGTGCTGCCACCAGCTGTTTCTGTGTATAGGGACCTGTTTGAGTGTTTATAAGAATGTCTTTGTTTATTGGTTTGGTTTGGTTTTTCTTTTCCGTGTGGCCTTTAGGATTTCTGTTATTTAAAAGACCTTTATTTTTTACATAATTACTTAACAGATAATAAGTTTCCTGTTATCTCAGGTTGTGATTTTAATATTGTGAAATAGACCACATCAGCAAGTCAGATGTTTCCATTGGTCTTCTCTGGATTCACAGTTCTTATGAATGTTTGTTGATACTTGGAGTCACATCAAAATAAAAGTGTTTAAAGGAAATAAAAAAATCATCAGAAACAGTTTTAATACAGAAAGGAATTTTCTAAAGTCATTAAGCTAATTTTCAGCAAGTTCTAAGTTTTACAAGAACAGTTAGGATGAAATAAAGTGGGAATTTTAAAATGTTATCTAAGCAAAACACAGTGAATGAGTTAGTCGTCACCTCTACAATGGCTTTGCCATGTAGATTTGAAATTTGTACCTAACTGATAACCTGTTTTGCTTGGAACATGGAAAATCAGGTAATTATATATCCTCCTCTCAGGGAGGACAGATGATTGTTAAGACTATTCTTTGCACCTATGTTTAGTCAGGACACAAACCAGCTAAATCTTCCTGAGTGTCCATAGTAATAGTCTCATGTAAAGCGAGCCAGCTTGCGATCCCGGGAAGAGAAGAGCATGGAAATTGGTTTGTGATCAAGTTCAGTCTGCAGACATTAAGGTTGTAATTGGCTGATAACATTTGGCTGTGCAAATTTGAACTGAAACAGAACTACTGCAGACAGTGTGAACACAGCCCATGTAACCAAGTACATGGAAGATAAAAGCAGAATTCCGGTTCCCAGGGCCTACATCATCATTATCATACTTGCCAAAGTTGTGATGAAAGCTGTGTAGGTTCAATCCTGTGCTGTTCCTATGTGTGTCTCTACACTATCAGACTTGCAGTTTCATATCTCTCGTCTTGCAGACTGTAGGGTTAGAGATCATGCACTTTCCATGCACTTTGCAATTAAACTCTTTGGAGGTAGTCATTTACATTCCAGTTGTTGGCTGTCCTGTCTTGACCCCTTCGCTTCACATAATTCTTCTGCCGAAAAATGATCCAGTTACACATAGAGTTTTTGAGCCATACTTAGATTATCTCCTTTATTGACCCTATTCTTGAAGCACACAGACCTAATTCCACTTTATTTTTTTCTTTTTATTTATATGGCTAAGGAAACCTTTATGCCTTGTTTTCATTCCTTTTTGTAAAATCTGTTTCATCTTGGCTTTTGACATTGCTCATTTCACTTCTTGCCTTTCAATACATCAGGGTTTTCTTGCTTATCAGTTAATCCATTGTACAGGTTTTGCTTACTGCATCCCCACTAAAGCCCATTCAGTCATATCACCCTGCAGGTGTTCATAATGCATCGGGTTCATCTAATACAGAAGACCAAAGAGGAACATTGTTTTTTTGCATTATTTAGTGATGTCTGAAAGTCAAAGAATTTGCATAGGATAGGTAGTTATTAATAACAAACACATTTGGTTTAGTTCATCTTTCCTTCCTTGTGATCTCAAAACTTTCACTGCCTTCATTACATTTTGAAAGCACACAATACTGAGGATGGTGAGATTATGAAATATATAGTACTGCTTAGGTATCTCATCCCCATTTAAACACTGGACACGTTTAAAAACCTATCTTTTCTCCTTATAATTTGCAATGAAATGGCACATTCTTATGGAAACGCCCATTCTTCAATAAAGATAGATTACCTGTAATAGTGCCGTGGTCTTTCCTGGCCCATAAAGACATACATGCTATGGATCTCTGTCAACATCTCTTTTAGCTGTGTGTCCTTCATCCTCAAGCAGTGCTGAAGCACATTGAGAGTGATGTGTTACTACAAGCAGTGCATTCAGAATCATTAGCATGTGTGGTTTACCTTCATCTTTTCACTTTTTATGTCATTTGTCGTCTGTGTTAATTAATTTTCCCTTATTGATTTGACAAGATAACTTTTCATAACATCCTTCTTGGAAAACCCAAGAATATTAGAAGACAACATTGATGTTTCAAATAGAATATCTCTCCTAAAATAGCTATATTTTTGTTTTACAGATGGGTTGGTCACTTCTTTGTAAATTAATAGAAATTTGTCCAAGTACTCTACAGAACATAGCTCCTAAGGATGTTGGGAAGGACTGGGAAGTACTGGGTGTTCACCAGTAAGTATTTTGTATGTAAAGAGTCTTCTGGAATGAGTGGT